ACACTAAAATCATCTCAAAATGGATTAAAGACTTAAGTATAAGACCTGAAACTGTAACATTAGTAAAGGAAAATATAGGTGACACACTTAAGCAATTAGGTCTGGGCATAGGCTTTATGAACATGAGCCCGAAAGCACAAGCAGCAAAAGAAAAAATAAACAAATGGGACTATATCAAACTAAAAAGCTTCTGCACAGCAAAGGAAGCAATCAGCAGAGTGAAATGAGAACCTTAGATGACGTGATGGCTGATGTCTACTAAGGACTCAACGCCCCGAGCCCTCTGCAATGACACATTAGGTGGACTTTCCTCTGACCCTCACCACCACCTTCCAAGTTATGCTATTATTGCCCCATTTCACAGAGGAATAAGCTGAGGCTCAGGGAGGATCATTAGCTTTCTTGGAGCTGAGATCTAAACCCACACGCGTCTGATTCCAGGGTCCAGTGTCTCACCCACAGCTGCACCTCAGGCCCACCCTGAGAGCTGGTTATAAACACGATTGCCGAGCCCCAGCCCAGGCCTTCTGGACTCCCTCAGTGACTGACGTATGAGTGCAGCCAGATCAGCCCTCAGAACCCTGCCCCAGAGTCCCACGATGCTGAGGCTAGAGGGAACTTTGGGGTGACCCGATGCTCCCTTACTTGACAGTTACAGGGAGAGGCCAAGGGAAGGAAAGGACCTGCCCGAGCAGTGGACAGAGGCAGGTTTCAGAAACTTTTGGCACAATAGGACCCCCATCACCTCCAGGTCCACATTCCCAGGGAGGACTAGGGGCACTGAGGGCCTAAGCCACGTGCACCTACCACAGAGGCCACGGGGAACCGACCACGGCTGCTGTGGGAACTGACCATGGAGACCACAGGGAACCTAACATGGTGACCATGCAGAACCTACCACAGCAGCCACGGGGAAGAGGTAGGGGTGGTTGCAACACTTCTTCAGATCCATCATGATGTTGAGCAGCGACACCTGGTTTCCACCCCCCTTAGAGTTCAGCGCCTCGAAGTTCCGCGTGAGAATGAACTTGTAGTACTTCCTGCAGTGGGGCATGAGGAGGGCAGGCTGGGTGCACCTGGGCCAGGCCAGCCTCCAAGGGGGCACTCTTGCTCTTCAGGGAGGTTGGGAGTAGAGGTCAAGCACTCACAGAGAGACCCAGGGGAGCCCGAGAAGCAAAGCCCCAGGCCTGGAGAGTCACCCAGCCAGGTACGAGAACTTGAGCAGCCCCAGACTTTGGGACTAAAATTTGAGAAGAGGTCCCAAGAAGGGGATGAATGCAAAGGTGAGCCAAGGCCTTGGTGGGGCTGGAGAGCCTCCCACCTACCCTGAGAAGCAGCCCAGGAAGGCCAGGTCGGGGCTTTGGGGAGACAAGCCCAGGGGAGAAGGGCAGGCTGCTCCGGGGTGGCCAAGCCCCACCACTCACTTCTGCATCTGGCTCAGCTCCACACGGACGATCAGCTCGGTCTTGGCCGGCATGTTCTTGAACACGTCAGCCTTCAGCCGCCTGAGCATGTGTGGCCCCAGCAGGTCGTGAAGCTTCTTGATCTGGTCTTCCTTGGAGATGTCAGCAAACTCCTCCAGGAAGCCCTCCAGGTTGCTGCAACAAAGAGCTTGGATAAGAGCCAGGAGCAAAGGACCGGAGTAGGCCCAAGCCCTCTGCAGACGGAATAGGATTGGGGTGGGGCAGGCCGGCTGGCTGGGGGGGCTGGGGAGCCCTGGTACTGCCCTGAGTATCGTCTTGGTCTCTATCCAGGCCTGTGTCACCACCCCTCACGTCACAGCCCTCTCTCGGCCACACAGGACACCTTCCCATCCTCAAAGCTGCCTGGACATGAGGCCCCAGGACCATGATCCACATTACAGATAAGGAAACTGAGGCTGACAGGTGCCCAAGGTCATGCCGTCCAGCCGTGCCAACACCTGTCCTCACATCTACACATCAGCACTCTTCACCCTGAACCCCTATTTTGAGCAGGAGGCGGGAGAGGTGAAAACGAGGAGCTTCGTCCCTCTCTCCACCAGCCACGGCCCCAGGCCCTCGCCTCTGCCTCCCACCACTGCTGCCCGCATCAGTCCTGCGGGTCTCTGCGGAGGGAAGGCAATGGGCTGGGCGTGGGGGGCAGGGACAGGAGCGCAGGAGGAGCCCCTGGGTGGTCTCTGGGCCAGAGCTGAGGAAAAACCATGGTGTGAGCGGCCAGTGCCTCGCCCCCTCCCACACACGGTCACTTGAGGGGAGCTCCACTAATGCTCCCATTTTACCGATGAGGAGACCGAGGCCCAGCCAGCAGGTCTCAGGGGCACGTCTCCACCGGTCCCCCAGCCCTGCCTCCCCAGCCACTCCCAGGAGACTCACTTGAACCTCTCTGGAGTCAGGAAGTTGAGGAGATGGAACAGCTCCTCCAGGTTGTTCTGGAGGGGGGTCCCCGTCAGCAGCAGCTTGTAATCGATCTTGTAGCTATTCAAGACCCTAAAGAACTTGGGGGAGGAGGAAGAGAGGGGGCCCGTCAGGGGCACAGGGTGGCTCCAGTGGCCGGCACCCCACCCTGCAGCCAGCACCACCTACCTTCGACTGGTTGTTTTTGAGCCGGTGGGCCTCGTCCACCACAAGGCAGGCCCACTCAATGGAGCCCAGGATGGCCTGGTCGATGGTGATGAGCTCGTAGGAGGTGAGCAGGACGTGGAATTTGATCTGCACTTCTTTCTGGAGGGAAAGGGGAGCATTTGGGATGAGGCAGCCGGGGCACAGCGGCGAGAGTCTCAAGAGAAAGAGTCAAGGAGGAGATGCGGAAGGAACCCCACAAAGACTCCCAGGAGCCCCAGAGCCTGGCCAGCCTGGGACTGGAGAGGAAGACCCTGGCCACTGACCAGAGGGGTCAGCTGAGGCCCAGAGTACAGTACAAGAGAGGGCGCTGTCGTGGAGAACGAAAAATAAATCCTGCCATGACTACTGCTACTAACAGTAGCAGCTGCTGCTTCTGGAATGGCAGCTTGGGGCAAGCCCTGTGCCCAGCACCTCGTCCTAGAGAACCTGAGGAGCTACGTGGTCACTATCCCCCTGGACGGCTCATGGGGCCTCAGGCTGGAGAACTCTCCCAGGTGCCCATGGCTCACAAATGGCAGGCCCAGGATTCCAGCGGAGAAAGGGGCCCTGCAGTTGGGGTTTGATGCCTGCAGCTGCAGATCTGAAATTCACAATCACTTTGTTGTTGAATTTGTGTTTTGTAAGAAAAGTCCCATGGGACAGTGAAGCGTATGCTGGGGCTTGGAGCCTCTACTCATGCAAGGTCCCACCTCCCTGGGACAGGTCCTCAGCCCCCTGCTCCCTGCCCATGCCCAGTGACCACTGTCACCCTCCACCCCTGTAGCTGATATGAGCGCTAATGTTTACTAAGGGCACAGAGTGCCATCTGGGGGCCACAACCATCCATCCACATCCACTGGGACTTTGTTAGAAATATAGAATCTGGGCCAGCCGGTTAGCTCGGTTGGTGAAAGCATAGCCTTGTAACACCAAGGTCAATGGTTCTGATTCCCATACTGGCCAGCCACCAAAAAAAAAAAAGAAAAGAAATGCAGAATCTTAGGCCCCACCCCAGAGCTGCTGGATGTGAACCTGCCCTTTAACAAGACCCCTGGGGATTGGTGGCCACAGTGAAGTCTGAGAGGCCAGGCCCTGCCCAGCGCTTCCTGACTCATTTGACCTCCCAACAACTCTGTGAAGTGGGTCTGCTACCTCCATTCTACTGAGAAGACTCCAAGGCACAGAGAGGCCACATGACACCAGGGGTCACACAGCTGGTGATGCACTGGGTTGAAGAGTGTCCCCCCAAAATTCATGTCCACCTGGAATTGTTTTCGGAAATAGGGTCTTTGAAAATGTAATTAGTTAAGATGAGGTCACTCTGGATTCGGGTGGGCCTTCAATCCGAGTGGCGTCTTTATAAGAAGACGGGAGACAGACACAAGGGAGAACATTGTGTGATAACAGAGGCAGAAATCGGAGTGACGCAGCTGTAAGCCAGGGCACACCTGCAGGCACCAGAAGCCAGAAGCAGCAGGAAGCACCCTCCCCAGCACCTTCCCAGGGAGCACGGCCCTGCCAGCACCTGTTTCTGACTGCAGGCCTCCAGAACTGGGAGAGAGTTTCTGCTGTTTTAAGCCCCCCAGTCAGGATACTTTGTTACAGCAGCCACAGGAAACCGACGCAGCTGGTAACTCTGCTGCACCAGCCCACTGGCCTCACCTCCATGGGAGCCCGGGTGGAAGGACCCTGAAGGACTACAGGGCTCCAGACGCCTCTCCAGGATCCTCCCTGGAGACAAGGGGCCCTCACCTTCATGCGGAACACCTTCTTCCCACTTCGAATGGCATTGTCCTCAAAGGAAAACTCATTCTCACGGATCACAGAGCGGCTCTCCTTGTCCCCCGTGTAGGTGACCACGTAGAAGTCAGGCGCCCACATCTCGAACTCACGTTCCCAGTTGATGATGGTGGACAGGGGTGCGCTGACCAGGTAGGGTCCCTTGGAGTGGCCCTGGAGAGAGAGTGATGCAGTGACGCCACCGCCCACAGCCAGCACCTGCCACCCTTGCCCAGTCACACCCCGGCCCACGCACCTCCTTGTACAGGGAGTACAGGAAAACGATGGTCTGCACCGTCTTGCCCAGGCCCATCTCATCGGCCAGGATGGTGTCAGTGCCCTGGGCCCAGGAGAAGCGCAGCCAGTTGAGGCCCTCCAGCTGGTACGGGTGCAGCGTGCCACCCGTGGAGTCGATGTACCACGGCTGCTTGTCAAACTTGACCGTGGGCTGCAGGGTAGGTAAAGGTTCAGACCCACCCCAAATCCTGGGCCACCAGAGCCCACCATCCAGGCCTCTGCACACACAATTCCTTCTGCCTGGAATACTCTTGCCATTCCTCTCTGCCTTCCTAACTCTGGTGATTCAGGTCTCGGCTGGAATGTCTCTTCCTCCAGGAAGCCCTCCCTGACTCCAGGCCTGGCTTAGGTGCTTCCACAATGCCCTCCCATAGCGGCCCTCTATTTCTCCTAGAGGGGGAATTTCCCAACTGTTGGATTCTCTGACTTTGAGCCCAGGTTGTCATCCCCACATTGATCCTGTTCACTGATTCCTCCAAACCCCAGAAAGTGCCTGGGACATGGTGGGCACTCGCTATTTGTTGGATGAACAAAAAAATGAATGCACGTCTGGGGTCCTCTCAAGGCCTGTCATAACCGGCTGCCTCCTCTTGATCTGGAACGTTGTGCTTTGCCTTGATCCTGCAGCTCAAGGCCACCTCCCCCATGAAGTCCTCCCGATAAACCAGACCCATTCATCTTTCCCTGGTATCTGACAGGCATCTGACAGTCCCAGGCCAGGCCCCCCATATTCTGTGTGGACCCCTGGAAGATGGTACACTTCTTGAAGCAGGGTCCCAGGGCTCAGTAACTCTTGTCCCCCCAGTGCCAGCCTGGGCCAGCAACTGGTAGATCCCCCAGAGAGCTTTGCTGAATGAACAGCCCTAGGTCTGTCCCAGGGAGGCAGGGCGTGTACTTGGCACGGCAGCCGTGTGCGTGAGCGGGCCCTTCCCACCACCCCTGCTGCACCGTCGTGACCCCATGTGCCCAAGAAGAGTCCTCCTGAAAAGGTGCCCTCCCCCACAGCCAGCCCGGGAGGGCGACCCTGGCAACCCCACCCCTTGCTCCCCTGCCCTCCCACTCACATCCACTAGGGGCGTGTCAGGCGGCTTCTCCTGTTTATCGTCCTTCAGCTTCTTGCCCTTCTTGACCAGCCTCTTGGGCAGCCTGGCATCTTCTCCCAGCATCATTTCCCTGGGAAAGAGCATCCGTGAGCAAAGCTCAGGCCAGGAGGAGGCCCCATGGCCCATGCCTGGCAGCCTGAGCTCTGAAGCCCACCTGTGGCCCCAGTAGGCCTGCTTCAGGTTGTCGTAGTAGGGGATGTCGATGTCATCGATCTCCCAGGTGCACTGGTCGTAGGGCAGGTCTTTCCACTTGATCAGGTAGTGCACGTCCCCCTTTTTGTCGAAGCTGCAACACAGTGAACAGATGGCGGGGGGAGGGGCGGATCACTTGGGATGGTGGCCACAGCGTGGGTCTGATGAAGGGCACTTCACAGGATGCAAAGCCACTCACGCCCACAACCCCCCTGGGTCCTGGGCCCAGCCAGGAGGAGGACACCAGGGCAGCAGCTCCAGAGAGACGGAGGCCAAGGCCAAGGCCACAAAGCCAGTGAGAGCGGGTGAGGGTGCTTGCTAAGTGGTAGAGTGGCAGAGGGACACTGAGAGGCTGTACCAACAGAGGAGCCAAGAGCCAGCGCTCAGCGTCCTTTCTGGCCTCTGTTGCAGGGATGAATCCCATCCCGTCATGGGGTCTGGACACTGGAATTCTGAATTTCTAAGTTGGAAAGTTCTCTCCCCTGCCCACGGACTTTGTTTTTTAACTTAAAAAATCCAAAGAGGCCTATTTCTGCAAAGTAGATGCAATTCCTGTAGGTAGGACAGCCTCTTCCAAAGTCCCCCAGGGACACAGGGACCCGCTGACCATGCCCAGCAGCACATGGCTTAGCTCTGGCTACTGTAGCCTCAGGGCCTTCTGCCCAGCCTGAGTTGACTGGGCAGCCAGGTCAGGGGAGTGCTACGGGGCCGGGGGGACCCACAGCTCCCCTAAATGGCAGTGGCGAGGTGAACAGATCATGTGAGCAGTGGCTGCAGCTAGCCTGGGGACCATTAAGAGGAAGACCAATCCCCAGTCACCATGGAAACTGATGGGTTTTTTTCAATAAATAATTGGTTATTATGCAGCCTTCGGGGAATAAATCTGGGGGAGACTCATGTATCCCACTTTGGAGGCAGAGAGAAAAACTGCCACTTATGTTTTCAGTATGCACTGAATAAACAGAAAGACCGTGGGTCAGTTCAATGTGAGCTCAGGTTCCCACAGGAACTGACCCTCTGTAAGGGCCACTCTCGGTGAGGTCTGGGGATGGAAGAGGGGACAATTCATAGTCAAAAGGGGCAGCTTTTTCAAATTCCATAGCCCCCCTCCTCACTGAGGGCCACCTGTAGCAAGCCTTTGGCAAGCCCATTTTATATGAGAAAAACAGAGGCCCAGGGAGCCCAGAGCCACAAAGCCCAGAAAATGCGGAGCCGGGGTTGGAATCTGAGCATCTGGCTCAGGTTTGTAACCCCTGCTCTGCCCGACGACTGCCCGACAGGACACCTGCGGAAGAGTAGGAAAGGCTGCCGGATCCGAACACCCGTCAAAGGCAGAGCCAGTGAAGTCGAGGCCGGGATGAAAGGCGCAAAGATCCAGCCGTCACGACAGGCACCCTGGCCGCCCCAAGGCCCACCTGTCAGCAGCTGTCAGTTCTCAAGCACCTGAGCTCGAGAGTCAGCAAGAGCTCCCAGTGTCTACAAATCAAAGCCAGACTCCTCTGCAGCCTCTGATGACTAAGGGACCTGGGGATTTTCCCGATGGCTCAACAAAAAGCTGTTGCTGGGGCACTGAGGGTAGAAATAGTGGCTAAGAAGGTGGGTCCAGACATCAGAAAGCACTGGGTTCAAATTCCAGTTCTACCTCCTCTTTGCTGTGTGACTTTGGGCAAGTGACTTAACCTTGCTGTGCCTATTCTCGCACCGGTAAAACAGAAGCCAAACTAAAATGCCCACCTCCTGCGGTAGTTAGCACTCAGTAGTGTCAGCTGCTGTTATAGCCTGGGGGAAACGTGCACACGCCCCCGCACCTCAGACCTACCTTGGTCCTCAGAGCCCTCCTGCAGGTGTCAACCCTCACTCAGCAGGAGCCCGGGAATGAGAGGGTCCCCACCCACTGAGGGTCCCGCTTTGTGCAAGTTTCACAGGCCGTTCTGCAAGTCTGCGCTTTACGTATATGACCGTAGGGCTGTTCTGCCAGCACGAGTGTGCCCGCGCGTGCATGAGTGTGCCCGCGAGCTTGTGACAACCCCTCCCGCCGCCAGTCAACTCGCCAGTGGTGGGAGCCCTGGCTGCCTCCTCCTGTCCCCGCTGCACCCACACGTGGTTCTGAATGGCAGTCACAAAGGAAGGGCCCGCGCGCAAACCCCTCCCGCCGCCAGTCAACTCGCCAGTGGTGGGAGCCCTGGCTGCCTCCTCCTGTCCCTGCTGCACCCACACGTGGTTCTGAATGGCAGTCACAAAGGAAGGGCCCGCACGCGGCCGGCCCGCACCTGTGGTTGAGGATGCGGTGCACCATCATCCACTCGGGCTTGATGCCGTAGCGGTAGAAACGTTCCTCCATCTTGGCGTACAGAGGGTCCTTGTTCTTCCTCTTCTCGCTCTTGCCATCCTCGTCACCAGAGCCATAGTCAAAGGGTGGCGGCTCGTCCATGTCGTTCTTCCTTTGGTAGTTGCGGTACATCACCGTGTGGTACAGCTCCAGCTGGGCGCCAGGAGCAGAAGTTACCGGCGGGAGATGGGCCGTGGCCCCCATGTCCCAGGCGGGACAGCCCTCACCCTCGGCTTCCCCTTCCCAACACCAATGACGCCCCTCACTCGGGTGGCTGCACAGCACGTTCCAGCCCCTTCCCACCAACCTTGGAGGGCCCAGTGGCTCACACGTGCCCGGCTGCCTCACCTGGAGCTCCTTTACCCAGGAGCAGTGCCAGTAGGAGAGCCCAGCCCACTTGACAAAGAACTCTCTCTCCGGGATGCCCTCCAGGGACTTGGGTGGGGGGATGCTGGGCTCCATGTCAGGTCCCGGCAGGCCCACCATGAAGGGGGCCGGGGGCTCCGTCCACCTCCAGTGTAGGATCCGCTGGACTTTGCCTTTCAGTGGGGGACACTGCGGACAGAGGAGGGTCCCCAAGTTCAGGGCTTAGCTGCAGGGCCCCACCCTGAGGCTCCCATAAGGGCAGACTATCACACAAGCTCCCTCCAACCGGCTCCACTATACAACATCCCCCTCCTGTGCTCAGGAGCCTGCACATGCTGGCCACAGAAGGGAGAGGCAATAGGGGCCTGTGAGTCCATGTGAGCCGTTTGCACTTGATAGTGACCTTTAAGAGCACCTGGCAAACCTGAGCCAGGGTGAGATGACACTACCATACACATATGACAGAGGGGAAAACAGAGGCCCATTCAGTGAGGGACAGCAGAGTAGAGGCAGAACCCAAGACTCCCCCCAACTGTCCGTGGGTCTTCCCACCACCCCATTGCCTGCTTAGAACTCCCCGAGAAAAGGTCACATCATATACTGCCCTGTGAGCACCCCTGGGGCATGAGCTTGGCACTCGTGGACACTGCGGCCCCATCCACCATCCCTTGCGCAGGGCAGGACTGCACCCAGGCAGTGTGCACCTGGGCTGGGACAGTGAGACCAGGTCTCCGCCAGCCCAGAAACACATTTCAGGGGTCCAGATGGGTGCTTGGGTTCCAGTGAGCAGCTGGCTGGCAATGGTGAGAAATGCACAGCCCAAACACCATCATTTGTGCACTGAGCACGCTACCCTGAGATGGGTCAGAGCAGACTTGGCCCTCGACAGAGGCCCCTCGACAGAGGCAGTTCTGGATGGGGTAGGGGGTGACAGATTTAGGGAGACAGCTCTTTTGGGGAGGGCAGGTCCCAGCTCTGCCACCTACTGTCCATGCAACCTTGTACAAGCCTCCTGAGCCCGTTTCCTCATCTGTAAAATGGGTCCACCCTTCCTGCACCTCCCAGGATAGCTGTGGATGTCAAATGACACACAAAGGCATTCTGGAGGTGTAATGTACACCAAAAAGCTCCAGAGCCAACATTCCTTTGGCCTTAGTGAGAACAAAGGCCAAGAGGCAGAGGAGGAAGAGGAGATGGGAAGGAAGGAGAAGAATCTCCTCCACTGGCTCTGGGGGAATTGAGGGGGGACCTCCCTTCCCAGGCCCTGGGCCCCCACTCTGCCCC